GTGGTGTGAATCAGAGGTGACAATTTCTCACCTGAAATCACACAAGCTAAGTCACCCCAGCTCTCAGGGTTTGTGTGAAGCAGAGAAGCTGTGGGAGGGTTGCTGTAGACACTGCATGGGATATTTGAATTCCTGTGCCAGCTGTGTTGTTTAAAACCTTTGTTTATGTTGCATCTCCATAAAGTTGCTGGGTGACAACTCTTGCTGCGATCTCTGTGTCACACCAACACCCTGCCTTGTTTCTACGTGCTGACCCGTGCAAGTTATGGTGTATTATTGTAAAATCAAGCATCTCACAGCTCAATATCTCCTTCCCTCTGTTCAACCTGGTCTGGTGAAAGGAAGTTGAACATGGGAGTTGTGTCTGGCTCCTGCGTTTTGGCCTGGCTCCAGCTAAGCACTCAAACATGCCCTGCAAAACTCAAGGTTAAGCACGTGCTGCACTGTCCTGCTGGATCAGAGCTGTGGGGGAAGAGGAGGAAAGGTACTCTTGTCATACTTTAACTGTGACTGACAGTTTGGCCTTTGCCCAGACAGAAATGTGATTTATTGTAAATCTGCTGGTTGCATTCATGCCTCCATGCACTTCTTTAAGTTAAAGGAAGCTGTTATCAAAAATGGAGTGCCTCTCACTCCTGGGTGTTAGATTTTATTTATCACTTGGCCATGGGTTTTCTTTGTGATGTTACCTGGTGATTTCTCTTTTAGCCTCTCCCCTGCCCCATATAATTATCTAGGCTGAAGATCTACAGCAGTGATCAAAGACATTTTGTCATCACCAGAGATAATTTGAGATCCCTGCTATATTTTTGCATATGGGCTGTAATTGCCTGAAAAACAAAACGAATTTTTTTTTTTTTTCCTCTCCTCTCTGTGGACTTTTATTCTCAAACAAAGTTCTATAGCATATCTAGAGGTAGGCTCTGTTTTTGGATGTGTTACTGTGTCTGGTCATGGGAACCAAATCATAAATGGTTGTGATTGTTAAATGGCCTTTCCCTGTCATGGCATGTCGGGTTGCTTTGGAATGTTTTCAGCAGATTAGAGAGCTTGAAACTCATAAGCTGTTTGTGAATTGCAATTCAGTAGAGCAGTCTCACTGAAAACACAGCAAGTTCAGTGAATCTAGAACTGTAGCACATGGTTTGCAACTCTTTAACAAAGCAGTATATTCATATTTGAAGTGTTCATGAATGAAGAGCCAAAAAGTTTCTGAAAAGTAACTCCTATTACTTAATATAAAAACCACAGCGAAACTTACGTATTATATTATTCACAAAAAAAAAAATCTGTCCAATCTTTCTGTCCTTTAGGAATAGTAAGGAATTTTACAGTGTATGAAATGGTATGGTTAATTTTTTTACTTTATTAAAAAAATACACCATCAATTCCCATGGTAATTTCAAATTAAAATTGTAATTTTGTGAAAAATGTATTTAATTTATGTGACAGAGCGATCTACATAATTTTAGGAGAGCAGCCAATTTATGACTTCTAAGCATATTGTCAAGGCAATTTTATTGTACTCAAGAGAATATTTCTGCTGAAATTATGCATACAGCCCTAAAAGCAATATTTAACTTAGAGGTAAAGAATAAATTAATATTTGTAGTGCTAAGCATGCATTTATTAATTTTTGTATTTCTTTTTTTGTTTTTGCTCTTCATGTATTTACCCTGTCCTAATAATAGATGAAAAAGAGTTATCAATAGGACTTAGGATATGTCCCCTGATAAAGTACTCAAAGCTTTTGTAATAAATCAGATATGAGATGTATAGTACATACTGCTAATAAATTTATCATTAATCCTTTAAAAATTATCCAAAAAATAGGATCTCAAACATAGTTATCCTAAGATCAGTGAGGAAATTACCACTGTTCTCGGAAGGCAGATTGGAATCTACAATGAATTCCTGCACTCCAGACTTTGATAATGACAATAATTAAAACTGACATGATTTTTACCTTTTTTACCTGAATGTATTCCATTTAGTTAAAATGAAGTGAATTCTGGTTTAGGTTGGTGTAAAAGAGAAGGGAAGCTAATTACATCCCCAGGAACATCCCACCGTTCTGTTTTAATCTTATTGAGAACACATTTATGGAGTGGGCTGGAAGTCAGTGCAAGCCTAATGCTAAGAGGCTTAGAATGAACATGATTGATTCAAATGGGACTGTTAAGTTTGTATGGAAAACTGTGATTATGCAATCAAATTCATGTACTGAGCCCTTGATACACACATCAGAAAATCTACTAACAGCATTGGGAGCTGAATAGTAGCTTTAATATGTTTCCTTGATAAAATTGAATGGAAGCATTTAAAAATCTCCTGCTAGAGACTTTAAAAACCCCAGACAACCCACCAAAACCCACAAAAAAGCCCCAGAACACAACAAATAAAAGCCTAACAAAGCAAGCAAGAAAAGAAAGCTAAACCTAAGCAGAAACATACCACCACCACCAAAATAAGTAAATAAATACATACATACATATATACATACATACAAACATATAAAAAAGCAAATGAAAACCAAATCACCAAAACAGTGGAATTTAGGCAGTGGAAATGTTGGAGTATTTTATTCACAAGCCCTTAAGCAAATATAAATGTGCTTATATCAATTAAGTATTGGCATGAAAATGAAGTTCCCTTAAAAAAATAATAGTTCCTACTTTGAATACTAACTAATACCTTATAGACCATAAAAAAAGCCTTAAGCATCTGGTGCAGTTAATTGGGGTAGTACTGAAGCATATGTCTTTTTCTGATGTCTGCTCTAGCCTGCATTTTTCACAGGGGAGGATGAATTTCAGCATGTTTCTTATAATGTAATTCCAGCTTTTTAAATTTCTTCTTTCCAATTCAAATTCTAAACCCTAAGTGTTTTATGGGTTAACTTTTTAAATTATAAGTGCTCGAGATTAAAACTGTGCTCTGAGCAATATCTGTGTGGTCCCATAAATTCTAAGTAGGCAGCTCCTACATATTTCAGTTAAAAGCAGAAGTGGGGAATGGCTTTCAAGATATACTTTGCTTTTCTTTTTCCTATTGGTGAAGTTTTCATGGACTCCCATTTCTGTTCTGACAATTCCAGAGTGTTTTGGCCACAGGACTTTCATGGACATGAATCCCCCCACTGCAGATTTTCTTTCTTTCTATTGCCTTTATAGGGATCCTGCCCCGAATCTCTTCCCAACCTGTGTACTCTAATAAGGAATCTAAATCAGATGTGATGGATCTGGGACAAGTAACTCTGGTGTCACTGTGAGATTTCTTTTGTTTTTGCTGGCAAAGCATTTAAGCATGAACTTTTTTACTGCTCAATAAAGCAGTTAATCATGTTTTAAAGTATAAGTCTGGGTCAAAGTATGTGATTGAATCAGATCCTTTGAAGTTCACTGACCTGTAGTAAATTGGGAATTTCATAGCTGGCTGCACAATTAAACTTTGACTTCAGGGCATATTTAGGTTTAAATTTCTCATTAGGAAGTAATTCTGAAGCAAGATTTTTTTCTCCTAACAAATGCAAAGAAGTTGTGAAGAGGTTAAGCAAAAAATTTATTTTGCAATTAAAACCAAATTTATGCATGATTTTTCTCATTTATTTCTCTGCTTCAGGTAAAAGTAATTGGTTCATAGCTTAATATGCAGGTAATCTTTGAACCTTCAGCAAGCTTTCTTACATGTTTTCTAGGTTCAATTCATATGAAATATTACCTTTTTTTCATTTGTCCCAGTCCCTTACAAATTATCTTTTAAAAGATAAAGGGAGACAGCAACATGGATAGAGTTATATTCTACAAAATCCTATTAGAACTGAAAGATCACTCTCTTGATGCTTAAAGTATTAAATTTTGTAACTACTGAATCCTTTTTCACACCAATAAGTGTGAGGAAAGTGACTCTTATGGAAGGTAATTGAGATAGGAAGACAGGATTACAAAAAATAGACACTGAAAGGTCCATTCAATTACCAGGAATACTCCTCTGCCTACTGTTGTACACTCATTACCCCTGGAATGATGATTGAGATTCCCAGTTGCCATATACTGCCACAGCCCCACAGGAGTCTTCAGTACATTTGTCATTTGTGTTATTTGAAGATTTGCCTTCAGTTTTGATGATATAAAACCATATCTAATGGTATCAAATAATCTGTGAGTTGGAAATATAATTTGAATTTAATTCACAGTACTTATTAAAAAAATAGGTGTCATATTTTAAAAGCTGGGCTTTTTTGCTAGGAGAATTACAATAAAATGGGACTATTTATCTGTCTTGTTCTGTACTGGATATGTTTTTACCATTTTCCATAGGAAAAGAGGAAAGAGACATATTTTAAATTACAAATGCAGGGGCGTGTGTACATTATCAAAAAACAGAATTAGACTCTTCTTTGTGTATCAGATTCCAATTATGCTTCCTGTGGAGTCTGTCTCCACAGTCAGACAGATTAGTCCTCTATTCATCAAGGATTTTGGAAGTGGGGGATATCACTTTTTTTGTCTCTTGGAAAAGCCAGTGCTCTGTCTGGGCTTGATCCTTGCATTTCATTTGCAGATTTTTTTGCTTAGGTAGCTGTAAGGTTGGAGCAGCAAGGACACTCAATGCATTAAATTACTCCCTAAGACATGGACCTGCCCACACTGGGTTTGGAGGTGGCGAGAACTTTGGAAGGACCAGGCTTTATTCTCCTGACCCATCTGGCTCGGGAAGTTTGCAGTCAACCTGGAATTTGTTCCACCCCGCGAGCAGCAACTACATCCATCTGTTTCATCATGTAAAGAGCAGAGACAGACACTGGGATGGGGATGGTTGGCACAGCAGAGCGTTTTCCTACGTGGATGAGGATGAGGGGTTCACACGGACACACTGCGGTGACAGCATCCCAAACCAACACTTCAGCCACAGTCAGGGGACAAACGATGTATGCAACGTGGTCGTACAGCTGCACATCACACATACATGATGCAGAGATGGCTATGGAAAATACTCACTTTTTCACTTGAGTCTGCTTCCTTTTGGCTTCTGCACCCCTTTGGTGCATAGCAGGGAAGTAGGTATTTGTGTTTAGTGGAAGAAATTACACTGACTAACAGACACAAGCATTTTACTCATAAATTTATCATAGACTATTGCTGAGGAGACTGACAGACAGCCACTACAAATGGTGAGTTAAACATTTAATGAACCCAGGCTGAACTCCTGGCCCTGTTGAAGCCAATGGAAGTTTTTGCATGTCAATCTTTTTTGGGGTGCAGTGAAGATTTAGAGAGGGTGGCACTTTATGTGGGTTTCTTGTTTGTTAATCACTTAATGGAAAATTAGAAATGATGCCTTAAGCAGAGAATCTTTTTCCTCTGTGCAATTTCTTCATAGACATTGAAGCTCACCATGAACAAAACCTGGGTTCAACAGGGGCTGAGGAGAGGTGCCAGACCTGGTTTCCAAATTAGTAGATGATATTTCTAGAATGTGTATTAGTGCAGCATATCTACGATGCTCTGCTAGAGAAGTATGTGTTGGTGTGTGTGCATCTTAAAACTTTCTAAGTACAGTAGCTGTTATCCTAAATCATGAGAGGAATAAAACAGGACTGTGGATTTCATTTAAGGCTCTCATGTAAAACCAGATTCCAGCAATTTCCATTCCTGGTGAGCTGGGAGCATTTGTGTGCAGTAAATATCAGCAGTAAACTAAATGCACATGCTGGGGAAACAAATTCATGTATATGAGCAGAATGAGGGAATAAAATCCACTCTCATAACAAGAATGCTGTGGTTTACAGTAGTGTTCAGTCACTGTCTTTAGGAAACTAATGGAACCACCAAATTCTTGATGGCTACTCCAAGGTATGTGTAAGGGTTAATGTAGGGATGTACATCCTTCCTTGGACTGAAAGTGTAGAAATGAAAGCAATGAGATATGCCAAGTCACATATTCTGATCCAGACCAGGAGCAGAACCCCAGTGAGAGCTTAGGAATGGGATCTGAGATATCGGAAATGACACGACTGTGAACTGGTTTTTCTCATTTTACATATGCACCGAATGGGAATATTTTATGTATGAATTGCAAATGAGTATTTATGGCGTGACGATGGCATGAATTAGAACCGAAATTTTAAACTAGCTTTAAACAACTTTCTGTTAACTGAACTGGCGGGGAAAAAAAAAAAAAAAAGCATTTTTGTTTAAATTTTCATGTCAAAACATCTACACCCCCAATATCCACGCCAGGCTCTTTTCCCCCCTCAGTGAAGCAGCGGGACGCCGCTGGCACGGGTGGGTCACCCAGCGGGGCTGGGGACTCGCGCAGCGCCCGCGGCCCCCTCAGCGCCCCGCGCTCCGCCCACCTGGGATGCCACAGTGAGGAGGGGCTTTTCTTCTGCAGACTCCTCCCTCGGAATCTCCTTCATCACCATGGCCACAGCCTTATCGGCCGCCCTAGCGCCTTTGCCCTACAACAGCGAAACCAACAATGGCGCCAAGTCAGCAGCGGGCTCCGACCGCCTCCCGCGCGCGCTCCCGACCCAGCCCGGCGCCACGCCGCCCGCGCCTGGAAGCCAAGCTCGGTTGGAAGCAGAACACACACACTGGTTAAAGATAGTAAAAATAATAGTAATAGTAATGACAATAATAACAAATGGTCCATCAACCCAATGGTTAAGGAGGCAGCTGGGGTGCAGCCGTGGTCTGGTGGCTCGTTAGAGTTGCCCCAATGAAGTCAACAGGAATACGGCACTTTCCTGCTGGGCCAAGGCCTGATGGAAGTTCCCCGTGCCAGCCTTCTGCAGGATAGGATCCCCAGAGCAGTAGGGGTTGGAGGATCAGCCCGTTGATTTAATTTTAGTTATCCAAGTTTTTACCCAAAATACGTCTTCGTGGGTTTTTTGGTTTCTTTTCCTTAAAAATAGCATCAAGTGGAGTTTTCAAATAAAGCACAGTTCCTTGTTGTTCACTGAGGCAAACTCTCCCTGAAATTTGAATGTATAATCTGGACCCACAGAGTTTATAGCTCTAGTAACATTTTAAAAGCAATTTACATCATATAAACAGTCTGGGTTGTTGCTAACAGAACATACGGAGCCAAATTCTGCCATCGTAGGCATTGCTACAGCTCTCCCTAAAATGATCGTTGTAGAAATTGCTGTAAGGATTTTTTTTTTAACTACACTTGTCTTAATCTTCTCTTTGTAAGTTCTAAATATTCTGGACAAGGTTAAGATATTTCAGCATTATTTAATATAAATTAACCAAACAAAACTGCACCAATATTATGTGCCATGCTGTTTGATGCCATTCTTTTTATTTAATGAGGGTCTTTATCATCTTGAGTTCACATGGGTTTATGTATCTTGATCTTTGGTCCTATTTTGATCTCTGCCTCTTGCCAGTGACAGAGAAGGTTGGAGCTTACACATAAAGCATCACAGCAGAGCTGTATTATGCCAGTGACCCTGGGCAGGGTCTTATTATTATACTTTAGAAGCTCCCATTGATTTCTATGGAAGTTTTAGCTGTGCAAAGACTGCAGGATCTGGCTCCATAAAAGAAGTATTTTACTCTGGACTTAAATATATTAAAATCATTAAAAGTCTTTTAACAGAAGGGGTTCTTTGCTAAGACATCATATACAAGAATTATCTTCACTAGCAATGTATTCTGTGTCAAGTAAACCCCCACTATTGCTTATACCAAACTACAGATGGTTTCAGGAACATTTCATCAATTGCAGGTAAAACCATTACATACTACTGCAGGTTCTCAACGGGTTTTATTACTGGTCAGGTCAATATTAGATTAGCTTGCTTGTGCAACACATCACAGATACCCTACAGAGAGTTCTTTGCATGCTGCAAGAAATTCTCAGAGCAGAAGTGTCATAAATTATAAGCATGCTGGACTTGTGATGCCTTTGATATCCAAAGAACTGCAAAGTCATTGTAAAATTAAATATATTAAGTTCAATGAGAATTACATTTAATTGGTAAGCATATCAAAGGTTCTGGGCCAATTACGTGTTTGTTCATGATTCATATGACATATTCCAGGTCTATGAAGCTTGTTTCCAGTATGACACATGAGCTATCATTAGCTAGCACTAATAGCATGCTATTGGTCTTTAGAAAATGTAGTCCTTTTGTGCTGAGTGCTAGAACAAAATCGTTTATCAGCTAGGAAGGATGCATTGGAAAGCATGCAGTGCTTTTTATTTCTTGCAGAGTAAAAACCCACCAAAGCAAAGGTCAGGTCACTTTTTTGAAGACAGAGCCACTTTTTCTTCAAGGTTTCACCTACTGCCTGAAAAGAGTCATGATACTCGTATTAGTGCCTGCTGTTCATCCTCCACACAAGTAACTGCAAAGCCCTGGGAGTGGCTGACACCAAAGATAAAATCTGTTTTACCAGATTAAAGTGGCCATGCTATAAAGGAGAAAAGCAACACAAAGGATACCTCTGTGATATTTTTAACGAGAAAACTTAGTTTATTTGCTGGGCAAAGCAAGTGGTTTCATGCTACCTTTTTTTTTTTTTTTTTTTTTTTTTAAAGTTAGATCTTTAACATTCCTAAAAGAAAAACACACTTTCCTGCATGTAAGTCAGGTTGACATCTCTGGCTGCTCAGCCTATGCTGTGTGAAACATTTTGAAACTAGAAGTTGGTAGCAATTTCCTGGATGCCAAAGAGAAAGCCAGGGCATTGGAGTAGCTTAAATTGTCAGATTCTGCTGGAGAGGTACACAGGGGAGGAATTCACTGGAAAATGCAGTGTTTTATTCTGTTGACTAGAAATTAAATTGTCCTATGTAAAGTAGAGAACCTTGAAAATTTTGGTCTCTCTTCCCTGCAGTGACCACTGTGTAGCCAATTCTTGCCTGTGGAGCCATTAGGCTGAAGAATTGGGGAGAAATAAAACCAGATTTTCTATGGTCAGGATGACCTTGTTACTGTTGTCAGCTGTAGCTGAAATTAAAATCTCCAGCACATATATTACAATAACCATTAAAGAATTATTTTTTTAAGGTTCTATTTATTTAGCCTCTTTTGATATTAAATATTGTTTCTTTGCAAGTCAAAGTGCTATATAAATTTACCTGGCACAGCAGTTTATTGCTTAAACCCTGTAAATCTGTAACAGCTAATTTTAGGTATGCCACGACTTCAAAACAAACAGTTTGTTGGTAGTCCAGGTTTGCAAGGTAAGTTACTTTCTCATGTAAACCACAGTTTAACAATTTAGTTAATAAATTTCATCATTCCCTTTTGGTTTTCAATATAGAAATGGAAACAATTGTGATGTAGAACATGACAAGCCATGTGCAAATGATGAAAAATGTGAATTGATGAAGGAAAAATGTATTATTTGTTTTAATGGAACATACTGCTTAAGAGAAACTGAGAAATGTGTCAGTGTTTCATTATTTGGTACATTAAAAAAAAAGCAACCGTTCCTTTAGGTAATATCTCCAAAGCAAAATAAAGGGTAGAGTTCAGAGTATTCCCCTGATGCTAAATATTTAAAACACCATTGGGTTCAAAACTTAATAACAATTTCTCTAAGCTTATCCTTTGGGATCAGATAATGGGTAATAATAGACATTTCCATAGGACTATGCTGATATAGCAGGATTTTGTAAGGAAATACTTTTATTCTGCTGCTCTTTTTGAACAGTTCCAAATTCAATTGTGTAAAAGTCACACTATTTAAATGTGGTACTTAATAATGGCTATTTAATTAAATTACTGTAAGAGCATATTAATGTAAATTTCTAGTGCAGCATAAAGTTGATTTTTTTAGTAAGTGATGCATATTGCATTGTAACCATGGTCATCTATGATAAAGCTTTAAGTACTTGGGACCAATGGATCACCTTCAGGTCCTGATGGGCAGATCAGAATGAGCACATGCTAACACTTGAAACATTACTATTTAGTACAATACTCTATAATTCTGTAATTATTTTCTTCATTATAGTGATTTGCAAATTTGTTCTTGCATATGAAAAGCCAACAACCAAATGCTTTGTAAATGTTTAACATTTTGACAACAGTATTTAAATTATAATTATTAATTGCAGAAATTCTTTGTTGTCATCTATGCAATAAAAGGATTTTATCTAAAACCATTTTATAATTATAAGTTTGATTTTGACAAATATTTAAGGCACTTGAGTCCTAAATTCACTTTTCAGGAATATTTATATCATCTGTTCTTGTGAGAATATAAGCAGAAAGAAATTGAGTGATCAGATTTTCTTTTTTTTTTTAACATGCATTCATGAAGAAAGTATTCCTTCATTACACAGACCTGTGCTGTTCCATTTAGTTTTCAAGGGTCCTACCAAGCTGTTTCAGCTTTAATTGACACAATTACAATACATCCCTATTTACAGAAATCATCTCAGCATAGGCATGTTTAAGCTTCTCTAAAATAGAAGTTTTAAGACAGCTTTCCTTGTAAAGAAATTTGATAGAATATTTATCTCCGGACACTGCTGGTACAGGTATGGCAGGATTACTGCTTTCATGGGCATCTCCCTATCTAGCTGAGGAGAAAAAGAATAACACCTTGCTGCATTTATAAATGTAATGCCAAAAACATGGCCAGATGTCCTGACCTTTCCCACAGGGCTGTTGAATTGAAGTGTTTGAAAACAAAATAAAAACAAAACCCACCAGTTCAGGACATCTTGAAGTACTGGTCTGCACTTTACATAACCTTAATAGGTTGGAAGGGCCTTTGTAAAGCAAACTTTATGAAAGATGCATTAGTGAGAACTTGGAGTTTTAGGAGCTGCTGTTCTCCTGTGCTGGGGGGAAGAACAGGAGAGCTGCTGAACGTGTTGGTTCTGGGGGGCTTGGCTGCTCTCCAGATCCCCCAGCAGCTGATGTATTAGAGATCCAGCTGAGCAGCCTATTCCAAATGGCTTTTTGCTCCACAAATCTTCCTGGTTTGTGCAACTTCAAAATAAAATTAAGGGGAAAACTTGGCTTTATTTTTTAAATTGTGCAGCGCTAAGGATTTTACCTCTCAGAACGAGCACACAGAGCTATGCAACGGTACCTTGGAAGTTCCAGTGTCCACAATACAGCTGTGAGCTCTTGATTTACATAGGATCAGTTTATGACTTCAAATTTTTCCCTTCTCAGGCTTTCATGTTCATGTTTTCTGTATATGCCTTTCTTCTCATCTATACTTTTCTATTTTTTTCTGGTGGTGTTATAGATTACATTATATAAATAATTAAAAATCATGAACAAACATATGGTGAGGCAGTTTTATGGATGAATACAAGATTGATATTTAAAGAGAAAATTCTGTTCCATCAAAGCTCGTGGTAGTTTTTTTATTATGAGCCTAACAAAGTCAAGTATATATCTAAGATAAATGGGAACACAATTCCGTTAGGCAATGCACGGTTGACCATGGTGAGGAAATGAGAACAAGCTCTCAGTCCTGCACTGGAAGTAGCATTGTCAGGGTAGACCAGCTTTCAGAACATGAGCTACTATTTTGCTATTGTATTTGCATCATTTGGAACCTCTTACCAAGCTCTCTGTTAATGATTAGCTAAACTCTTTTGACTTGTGATCTTCAGTAGCTCCTTCTTACAAGATTATGATGAAATACAGTTTGCTACACATGTGGAAGCAGCTATGGGAAGACTTGTCCGAGATGTAATTTATAGTAAATCAGATAAATCCATATTGGCTGAGTTCACAGTGTTCTACTCCTCTTTCATCCCTTTCCCCATCTTTTCATTCTTACGCTGATGGAATAACAGATTTCAGCTTTAATATGGGAAGACTTTACTGCATTCAAGAAAAATGGCAAAGAAAGGGACAAAAGCTTATAAAAGGCAATCAGCATAAATATTCACATTTAGCCTCTTTGGGTTGTCTCTTATACCCATTTAAATGTCGATAGGGTGGTTAAATTGCACTCCAGTTTGAGAAGCATTTGCATTGAAATGGCACAGTAAGGTTTTCTGTTTATTGACTCTCAGTAACATTTGCATCACGTGTGCTCCCTTGAGAAGCTGTCTCAGTCTGAAGCCTATGGATTCATTCCCAAAGCCAAGTGGGACAGCTTCCAAAGCATCTCTGGTGGAAGCTCTGCAAGGCCCATTTTGCTCTCAAGAACTTGTGCAAAGTTACTTGACTTAACACATCTGAACACAAATTATGACTGGAAATTTATAAACAATTCTTCCCATCTCACTCATTCTCTATAAGCTAATATGATTCCTGCAGGCTAAGAGGAGGAGGAGGAGAATGTGAAATAAGGCTTTTTCTCTCTTAAGTCAAAGAGTTTTATGTAGGGCACAATAGGGAGTGCACAGTTTGAGATACCAGTGAGATAACAACACTGCAATGTTGGAATAATAACGATGATTTAACTGTAAATAGTAATTCCAGCTGGGAATATAGAGCAGGGTTGGGAAGAGGAAGGAGGTCTGGGATAGAACTAATACTTAGAGGTTGTTTAAGGTTCTGCTCCTTTTACAAACGAGTTATATAACATATCTCCTTGTGATAGAAGGCTTGGATGAGACGTTTTGCAGTCTTTTCTTTCTTTGCAATTGTCATCTTTTAATAGGACCATTGTGAATATCTAGAAACTATTTTTTAGCACTTTTTTGATTGACTTCTTAATAATTTGGAATTGCATTACCAAAGGGATGAGTGCTTTGCCTGCACAATGGTATATGACTTCAAAAATCTTAGGGAATAGCTGCAGGATTTCTTTCATCTCTGCTTAGTCTGTGACAAGGAACTTTGTGAAATCATTGGGTTTAGCAACTGGCAATTTTAAATGTGGAAGTCTTCAGCAGAGAGTTAATACTGAAGTATTTTCTCTCCCATAATTTGAGTTCCTTTTATGTTGACTTCAGTATCATGATCCCCAGTCACAACAGAATTACCTGCTATTATTTGCTATATTGCCATGATGATGCATGTCCTGAATTAGAATAAGAGATTCCTCTGGAACCGGTTCCAGTGAAATTCCAGGCGATCAGGTAGCTTTCAAAATAAATAATTGTTACTACAGTGCTGTCTATTATTTAAATGTTTACTGCACATGATGTGCAAATGATGAATTTTGCTCCCTCATTTCCTCCCAGCACATGATGTATTGTTCTTTGAAGTGGTAGGGGTTACTCACCTCCTGATACACAATTTTTATGGTTTTGTTTCATGAAACATTCAGAGAACTCAGACTAACTCTGCAGTCTGTTTAGGAAAAGCAATGAAATAAACTGAGAAGTGTGAAATTTTATGTGGAAAAATCAGAAGCTT